TCTTTCCTTCCTTCAATTGGATTGATTTGTCTCCAAAAAATTTAAGCTTCCGTCTAATAAAGAACTTTCCATATTTTTCTTTCTTTCTGTACGAAAAAAATTTGTATAGTCGTCATCTCAATCTTGGAGAAGAAAATCATGGAATTTATAACGATTGTGTTTGGGTATGTCCTTGGAAATTTTAGTGTTTGTTTGTGTTTTTTATTTTTTTGTTTTTTATTTATTTAACAAATGTTGTTTTTTATTCTGTCTACAGATGAAAATTTAGCTTCGCTCATATTTTCCTACATAATGTGAGGTGAATTTTTCTTTTTGTATATACGTGAAAATCTAAGTAAATTTTTCTTTATTTATTGGATATAGTTATGAAGGTTTTCTTTTTTTTTTTTCTTTCATATCTATTTATTTCTTACTTTTTTTCAGGTTTAAATAATGTAACAAAATTTTTTTTGTTCTGTGTATACAACTTGACTATGTCTTTCTTTCTTTACCGTTATCTACATGAAAAGTTTAAGTTGTTGTTTATGTTTAATGATGATTACAACAGTTTGGTATATGAATGTTTGATTGTTATCGTCCAATTTATAGTTCTTTTTTTACGTACATTTTCGAAGAGGACTGTTGATTTGCGAAATGTTTCCTAATATGTATCTGAGTTCAGTCAATTTAGTTTATACTGTGTTTAATGTAATATTATCATTATTGGTTGGTTTTTAATTAAATTCATAATTTCTTCTATTATTGAAATCAGAGGTCAGTTCATTGTTTTCATGGGTTCTTTCGAAAAATCTATGATTGAAGAGTATGGTCGTTTTGATCATCAAACTTTGTCCCAAAGCACAAGTCAATCATATAATACTTTCATTCGACAACAACAAAATCGAAGGCAGGCGAATAGGAGATATCGAAATGAAACTGTAAGTATTGATCGTCGTAAAAAAATAAATGATCGTATGTTATCTACAAATAATATTTCTGAAGTTGATTCTGTGCATGAATATATAATACATTCTGAGGCATCTACTTCGAATGAAGAAATGATAAATATTTTTTATTATGAATTACATGGAAGTTCTAATTTGTTAAGTGTACCAGCAACTGCATATGTATTACCAACTTGTGCTTATTGTAAGCATTGTGGTGCACGCAAATTGTATAGAGAAACTAAAGGTTTTTGTTGTTATGATGGAAAGGTGAAACTTTTTATGTCCGATTCACCGGATGGATTGTATACTTTATTTATGTCTAAAGAGCTTGTATCTATGAAATTTAAAAAATATGCACATTCATATTATAACTACTTTGCGTTCACTTCATTTGGCATAAAGTACAATAAAGAACTGTTTAAAGCATACAAAGGTATCTACACATTTAGAATTCAGGAACAAATATATCATTATGTAAATCAACTTATGCCGGATAATAATACGCCTTGTTATATGCAATTATGTTTTTATGATATAGCTAATGAACTAGAAAATCGTATGAAAACTTCAGAACACCTGGTAGAATCTATTTTATTTCTTCTAATCGAAATCTTGAAGGTAAATCCGTATAGTAAATTTTTTAGGTCTTTAAGCAATATAACTGATTTGCATGAGCATAAAATTTAAATAAGATGCCATGCATGACTCGATCAGAGAGTCTTTAATACTCCGTCAGCATCTCAAGTAGTTGCTATATGGGTTGAGGATGATGAAAATGCAAATATTCGCGTTCGTGATATTATTATATATGGTCATTCTGGTGATTCGCATAGGGTTCATTATTATTATGGTTGTTATGATCCTCTACAATATCCTTTGCTATTTCCTTTTGGTGAATGTGATTGGCATGAAAGCATTCTAAGATACGAACAAACATCTTCTCAAATTGCACAGTTTGTGGACAATGTTGCTAATCCTAATGTAATAAATTCTGCGGCTCAAATTATTGAAAAAGAAACTGCAGGTTTGCTTATATACTTTCTTGTGTCTATTATACTTTTACAATGTGATATTGAAAGTAAATATAAAATTTTAATCATTCTCGCTTATGTAGTGCTGAAGGATACGAAGAAGAAACGGTCTCAGGTATCATGTCGTGAGTACTATTCGTATAAGTTA